CCTCTGTACGGAGAAGAGAAAACCCACGAAAGCTGATCGATTATTTTTGCCGAGAATAATCATGGGGAGAGCCAAAGGAGAAGCAACCAGAACCAAATCTCGCCCATCTAGCAGCAGGTTCGTCTTCTCACGCTCTCTGTGCGTGTATGTGTGTGTTGTGTGTTTAGCTGAGAATTTGTTGAAACATAAATTGTTGATGGTAGTAATAAGCTAAGAAACCATGAATAATTGCAGCTTGGCTGCTTCTCTAGTGCCATCGGGTGCTACGGCGGTGGGTTTTGGAGGTTACCTGGGAGGTTCCCGAGTGAGCTCTTCACTCGCTTCAACCTCTGATATTTCTTCTTTTACGGTGTGTATACTGTTCGTTGTTTTTTAAATTGCAGTTTAAGGAATAAAAGTTGGAATCTTGGTTGAAATTTGATTTATGTTATGGACTTTTCGGCTGTGCCTATTCTGTTATTTATTTTCGCAATATTGGGATGATGGGTGAAGCAGGATATTGATGGTGAAGTGGTGCAGCACTTGAAGCGGCTGTCGCGCAAAGACCCCACCACCAAGGTACATTGTATTCATGTACATTTTTTTTTTCTTATATGAATTGGTGTAGCGTCTATAGGCAACATAAATTGGGTAATCATGCTGGTTAATTGTAGAGGACCAAATTTATTCATGTTACGCTGTTAATCTTCTCTCAAGAAACTTCTACAAAGGATGTAATGTCTGCATTTTCACTAGTCTACAACGCCAGCTGGTAGGATTATGCTGGTGTAATTATGTTGTATGAAGATATTGTGAGATTGAAAGAATTATTCATGTGTCTACTGCTATCCCTTTCTTTTCCCAATTTGGAATGTATTTTGTTGGTGTAAATTAACCTATATTAGGTTTGCGTTTACCTATCTCGCTGACTTTTGTTTGTTTCACAGCTTAAAGCTTTGGCAGCGCTCTCTGGAATTATCAACCAGAAAACAGCAAAAGAAATAGTAACCATCATCCCACAGTGGGTATGCTCATGTTCACCTGGACTAGTGATATATAATTCATCTTCTGAGTTTATTAAGGAACATTGCCTAGTGCGCCTTGTTCTTTTGTGACCACTTTCATTGTTTAGAGATTTACACAATCTGGTTCCCTCTTGTGGCATAGGCATTTGAGTACAAGAAGCTGCTGCTGGATTACAATAGAGAAGTCCGACGAGCAACACATGACACCATGATTCATGTCGTTAGTGCTGTAGGGTTCGTATCGGTTTAATTAAGACTGATCCAATTTGTTGTGTGGCCCATGGCGGACATGTAATTGTTGGCATTTGCGCTCCTTTGTCTGTGCTAAAAATTATTTAGAACTAGAAGCAGCTAATTTCCTTGGTACTTATAGTGTAGAATGTAAGGAAGTTCCATGAATTCCGGTGTCCCGAATTTATGCACAATACATTGGCTGTTCGTTGAGATTCTCTGTTTAGTATGTGTAAAAATAATTTCTAGAGTATGTGACCTATACATTAATCATTTTGCACATTGTGCATTTATGCGTAAACCATGAATAATGCATTTAAGAAAGCTTAATTCTGTCATGTTGATTACACTAAGGTATACATTTGTGCAAGTTAGCATATTTTCTATGTTACTCCGGTCACCATGGAGCATTCTTTTATATATTTTTATGTTGCATTTTTCAGAAGGGACTTGGCTCCACATCTAAAACTTCTGATAGGACCCTGGTGGTGTTCTCAATTTGATTCAATATTTGAAGTTTCTCAAGCTGCTAAACGGTCATTCCAGGTTTATTTACATTTCTTTGGAGCATGATGGTTATTCTTTGTACACTTCATGCTTAAGTACCATTAGTCTATTATATGCTAGAACTAACAGATTTTTCTGGAGAGGCTACCTTTTGTTGTCAAACTTTCTTTAAAGGCATGGATGGTGATCCAGTTAGAGTACGGAACTATCTTAATCTTCTCTCCTATTAATTATTCAGTCCTTGTGATTCAATTGATTCCATTGAATCTCGGTGTCGAGTGAAAAAAGAGCTTGGGTCATCCATCATTCCCTTAACTTGCATGCTCGATACAACTAAAAGAAGAAACCTTGAGCATTATAATTAGATTAAGCTAATGATCAAAAAGGGGGTGTATATATCACACTGACATCTATCACTAGATTACCCAAGTCAACCATTTCTGAGGTGAAACCCACTATTATGCTGACTACTGGAAACTCAGCCACAACAAAATGGGAAATATGACTGTATGCAGTGTATATATGAGTTTGTTGCATAGATATTCTGATTAAAAGATATAATAACAAAAGTTGTAACTGGACGTTATTGTAAGAACTTCCCAGAACGATCAATAAGATATTCACATTTCTAAATGAGTACTTACTTCGGTCTTAGGGCCCGTGCTTTGTACCTTCAGTTAGCTGTTAGTGTTCCCATTTGCTCCTCTGATCGCACTATCCCGAAAAACTTGGCTTGTATTATTCCTTGAAGAAGTTGAGATGGTGACCTTATTAATATTGCTACATACACTTTCATGATCGTAGTTTCTTATGTTAGAGCACTATTGAAAATTCATAATATTCATTATGTTGATGTACTGAAGCAAATTGTCATCTATCTGATTTTGTGATTCATAGGTTGCTTTTCCGGTTCAAGATAGAAGAGTAGATGCGTTAATGTTGTACTCGAATGAAGTTTTTTCATATATTGAAGAAAACCTGAAGCTTACCCCTCAGAGTTTATCAGATATAGCAACTGCATCTGATGAAATGGAGGAAATGCATCAAGAGGTAACAAGGAATATGTGTCTCATGTTATTGTACAAATACATTTTTAAGAAGTGTGTTTATCCTTTTTTTTTTTTTTGTCTTTCTTAATTAGCAAAAATAGAATTGGCTAACATCATTGCTGAGGGGAAATATACATAAATAACCAAACATGTGCAAACTAGGCTAGTCAATCTCCTCCAAGACTATCTCATTTAAGATACATTTCTTCACGAGTACATTTTCCTTCTAATGCTGTAATACATCACTTTCACTTTCTGTTGTAATTCATTCTCCTAAAACATTTCCCAGTGATACAAAACCCACCCGTGCATTCATCTGTTTCATTCATCTGTTTCTGCATGTTAGAGAATATCCAAGCATATATATGAGGGGTCATATGCAAAACCGCAAGTCATTCGCCAGTTTGTTTGTGAATGCAGTGTCTACTGTTATGGTTCCTCATCTAGCTGGTTGAGGAAACTATTCAATAAGCCTCTCACTTTTCAGGTTTTAACTGTTATTTCTGTATCCTCACTACGGACATGGCATAGTACAAGCAAATGGAGGAAATCAAATTTGACAATCACATAAAATAACTAATTTTGCAATGGAGTCTCAAATTGTCAAATCAAATAATTAGAAAAGGAAGTTAATTTATAATTGATAATTTCATCAATCAGTCCCCCCATCATCTCCATAATTCCCTATATTTATTGATCTTGGGGAATAATAGCTTATCTTGGACTTCTTCATGCAAAAATATTTAAGATAACATCTCCTGTTTATCATATATTTTTTTGTCTTTCTGTCTTCCTGATAAAGTCATAGATCAACATTATATAGTAGTTATGTTTTTGAAAGCTTATCTGGATGCCAGGTGCTTTCTTCGTCATTATTGGCGCTGGCAGCAGTTCTTGATGCTTTCTTCCCCTGGCATTCTGAGAGGTCTGCACTAGAAAATATGAGTGGTGAGCCAAAGACTGCTATGAAAGCGAGGACCCTTGCTGTTTCTACTGTCGGAAAGTTATTCTCGAGTCATAGACATTTTCAAGATTTTCTGAAGTCACAAAGACCAGCTATTCGTTCAGCAGCATATTCAGTACTGAGAAGTTGTATAAAAAACATTCCCCATGCTATCAGTGAAGGAGATGTGAAAGTTCTTGCTGGAACAATTCTTGGTTCTTTCCAGGAAAATAACCCAGCTTGCCATGCATCTATGTGGGATGCTTTGCTGCTTTTTACTAAAACCTTTCCCGACAGTTGGACTTGTGTGAATGTCCAGAAAACCATTCTGAGCCGCTTATGGAATTTTCTTAAGAATGGATGTTATGGATCTCAACAAATGTCTTATCCTGCACTAGTTTTATTTTTAGAAGCAGTTCCGTCAAGAGCAATCACTGGAAATAATTTGTTTCTTGAATTTTTCGAAAGCCTCTGGGCTGGAAGATACCTGTCCTATTCATCACATGCTGATCTGTCTTTATTTTTCCATGCACTGGAAGAATGTCTTGTCTGGGTCTTGAGAAATACTTCGAGGTATGTGCACAATGAACGATTTTCGTATGCCATACTTTATGCATTGACATGTTTGTTTGGCTCTGTTTATAGTACTTGATATTATCATTTGCATTTGCTCCCTTGGTATCAGATATTTTGCAGATGTCGCAGCCATGCACCATTTCCAACACACCCTTGTCGGTGAGATAATGTTAGGGCTTATTTGGCATGAATATTTGATGGCTTCAAGCTCTAAATATCAGGATGGGACTTTTACTCAAGGTCAATTAAAGAATGGCATTCAACCTGTCCATAAGGAACAAAGAGAAGCAGTAAATAGTAGGCATCCAGTGGATTATGACGAAATTGTTGGAAAATGCATCATTAAGATCCTCTCCGAGATTCATCACCTTGATCATGATCTGCTCATGATTTTCTCTGTGAAATTCCAAGCAGATTGTCTGAGTATGTTTCAGGAGACAGACAGTTCTTCTCGAGATGTGGATTGGGTGATCAAATTTTTTTTACTATTGGATAAACATGCCCTGCAGGAAGGAGAAACTTGGCCCATGATTGACTTGGTGGGACCCACATTGAGAACGACTTTCCCATTAATCAGGACACTGGTAAGTAACACTGGACATCTATATTCGCTCATGTTGTAATAGTTTTAGATGTTATAGATATTTCCTTTCATTTTAATAATATGACAGTTTCTTTCACTAATAGACCTGGTTTTGATTTTATATTTGGCGATCGGTAGACACCAGAGTTTCTTTCATTTGTCTCTTGGTTACTTCGTTTGATTAGAATTGTCATGCTAAAATATGGTGGCCGGTCGAATGTTCACTTCGAATGATGATTACATGTGATATAATCTTACAATCAACGACTTCGATGGGATCACTCATACCCCTTCGAGGTGGGATTTATTACAATCTGGTATCTTAAAATACTATGGTCTAATGCCTCTAAATCCCAACCACACTGTAACATACATCAACATCAACATCAACATACCCAGTATATTCCCAAACAGGTTGGGGTCTGGGGGGTCAGTTGTACGTAGACCTTACCCTTGTAATTATACAAGGAGGCTGTTTCCGTAGCGACCAAGTTGCATTGCGTCGTTTGATATATTTTTCTAGAAACTTCACTAATAAAAGAAGCACTAGAATATAATTGAGTCATTTTGATCTAGTCCATTATTAGCACTATGCCAGGAGAATTGTCAACAATGACTCTTCCAGCTCCATTTGCAATGGACATAACCACACTGTAACATAAATGATTAAAAAACCAATTAAGGTAGTGTCAAAATTAAAATCATGTACATGGGTTTTAGTACAAGTACTCGTGTCATACTTTGCTGGAAACAAGAGATACCATCATATTACCGAACTTATGTGTTGTCTGTGCTCTTTGGCCTTATGGTTTCGAAAGATAAGTATTGACCCTTTGTTTAAGCACATAGTGCAACTATGTTTTGTCGATTGTGTATATGGGTAGAGATAGATTTCCGTTCTCATTTCTTGGTTGTTCTGGTTCTTTCATTGTTCCTTTTTTCTTCTCTTTTGTGTAGATTTAATTCTTTCTTAATCATTCTTTACATTTGTCTCCATTGTTTAAAGCAGGACTCACCAGATGCAGCTAGGCTTGTTGTAGTCGGAGCTTCGATATGTGGACCTCACAAATTAACTCAGGAGCTTTTGGGCATCGGCTTGGGTGTAGAGCAGTTTCTAAAATCATTTAAGGAAACAATGATCCCTTTATGTTTGGATCAATCTATCCCTTCTAGCGCTGCTAGATTGGACCTCTTGCTTGCCTTACTTGATGTGGAATGCTTCTCCGAACAATGGGATGCCATTATTAAATACATAGTGAGGCCAGAAAATGTGTGTTCGGATCATGGGATGACAGACAAAAACCACATAGCTCTCTTGGCTATCCTGATAGACAAAGTCAGGAAGAAAACTAAGAAAACTGATGATCAGTGTGATGTATATAAAGACAACTATCACCATGAGTCTCTAGATTTGGTTGCTGAGAATGTTGTGCGGATTTTACCCCCATATGAAAATCTTGAAAGTCAATTCCTATGGTAAGTCGAAGTATCCCCATCAAATAAATTGGTGGATGTTTTGTCGTATCTATTGCAAGTTCCATGTGTTAATTTAGGCAATGTAAATGTTCTTTTTTTTGGCCCCACATGTTGATTTTGGGTTCTCATAAAGAGTGCATTGAAATGATGAAACTTTTCAGTTATAGTATATAGTAACTTCCTTCATATGTTCATTATGAACTTCATTATTTTTTAGTTTGGCACATGAATGCATCTGTATATATTATTCATCCTATAATATGCATATACCTGTTCATAGATTAACTGGAGCCTTTGACCATTTTTCTTGTTGTTTCTGTTGATGCTATAGCGCTAAAAATATTATGGTCATCCAATAATTATAATATTTTCATTGCTATTATGTCCTATGACAGTGCTGTACTTGGGAGAGAATCAGAAGATGACAACATTTCCTTCATATCGCGGAGCACAATGGTTGTGATATTTGAGGAAATTCTAAAAAGGCTACTGGCTTTCATGATGGATTCTACGTTTTCTTGGGTTCAAAATATATGCTGTTTGTTATGCAGTGGGATCAATTATTCTGGTGCGAGATTGGAATATTCTAGTAATCTGGTGGAGATGACTCGATTTGGTTTGGATATTCTCAATGGTAGTCTCTTTTGTCTGAATGCAATTGAAGCTGAAAGTGAGCTAGTTCAAGGCATATTGGCAGCTGTATTCATAATTGACTGGGAATTCAACTGGATTAATGTTTCCACCGACAGGCTTGATGAGCAAGTTGGAAAATATGAGTCTAGGCTGACCTTATGTGAAGCCGTGCATGCTTTGTGTAGGAAAATCTGCAATCAGTTCTTAAAAGATTTTGGTGTAAATGGACGAAAGCGATTGGGAACCACTCTGATTCAGTCAGTCAAATCCATTGCATTCACTGATAGCCAGTTTGATTCAGAGAATTTCATATCTTCCTGCTGCCAGTGGTCACTTGATATTTTTGACCTATTCTGTCAAGACCAAGTTGAGGAACAAGAGCTGATGGAGCAATTTTTCAGTAAGAATGATGTGTGGCCTTCGTGGATCATGCCTGACCGTGAAGAAGCCAGATTAAAAACGGATAACCTTTCTGCAGTGAGTTCTATTTGTTATGTGTTTCTCTTTCCATTTTGTGCTCAATTCTTCCACAAGGAATCACACTTATCCCCCCCCTGGTTGTTATTGCCATTTTTACTTTTAATGATTCTTTCCTGACATTTTAAGCTAACTTAACTGTAGGATAAAAAATGAACCATCTAGATATCACGATTCTCGTATCTTCTGGGTCAAAAAGCTGAACTGATTCGAACCAACTTCCTGCGCACTTATTTATTCAAGAATCACTATGCCTTGTATGTTTTCCGAATATTTTTGTGGTATGCCCAGATATAGAAGATGGTAATTGCTATAATATTTTGTAGGTACCTAAAAACACGAAGTTCATTGCTGTGGTGGACAAACTAATTTCCAAAGTTGGATTTGGTCGAGTTATTGCTGGTGGTGTTTTGAAGGCATCACCTTCATCTAAAGATCCTATTACAGACTCGAGTGCCAGATTTAATTATGCTCGGCCTTGGCTTGCCGGTGAAATTTTATGCACATGGAAATGGCTTGGTGGCAGTGTTCTGCACTCTTTTTTACCACCTTTGGTTGGTTATACAAAAGGTGGGGATTTTGGTCTTGCCGATTCCATTCTGAATATTTTGGTTGATGGTGCTCTTATCCATGGATCTGCAAGTGGATTAAATCTTTTATGGCATAGTTCAATGGAGGAGTTAGAGGCTATTGAAGAACCCTTTTTAAGAGGTCTTGTATCGTTACTCAGTATCTTTTTCCAAGATAATGTTTGGGGATACAAAAAGGCCCAATCACTCTTCAAATTACTGCTCGACAAACTTTATATTGGTGATATTGCAAACGTAAATTGTTTGAGGATTCTTCCAGCGATCATGAACATTCTTGTAAGACCCTTGAGCACTCAAATTAAAGATTGTATGGATGATCAGTCTGATCCTGACAGTGGAAGTGAATTGCATAGTGTAACGTTAGACTGGCTCAAGAAAATTGTATCTTTTCCTCCACTGAATGCATGGCAGGCTGGAGAAGGTAAGTCACATTCGGATGCAGACATTTCAATTGAAAGATAGTGTGGTAGTAGCCATCAACAGTAATGAGTTGTTTACGCCATTTCAAAGTTTGGGGTTTTCTTGAAATGTAAAGGCCATACCCGGTTAATGCAGTGTTCACAATATTTTCTATACTTGTTAAAATCACTTGTATCATTTCCATGATGACACGGAATTTATTACTTGCAGATATGGAGCACTGGCTTGAGTTGGTTATATCCTGCTTTCCCTTATCGTCCCAAAAGGTGCAAGGGATAAGACCTCAGAGAGATGTCTTGCCTACGGAGAGAGAAGCACTATATGAGTTGTTTCAGAAGCAGAGGCAGGCTTCATCAGCTGTGATAAATAAGCTACCAGTGGTGCAGAGGCTTTTGTCACAGTTAATGGTGATTTCGGTAGCTTACTGCTGGGACTATTTTGATGAAAATGATTGGAAGTTCGTCTTGCATCAGTTCAGATTGTGGATTGAGACAGCAGTTGTAATGATGGAAGAAATTGTTGAACATGTCAATAACACTTTGACTGCTGGATCTAATGATGCAAATGCTTCATTAGTTGAGCTTGAGAATATGGTTGTAACGACTGATCCTTTTCCTATAGAACTAGCCAAAAATGCGCTTATTGGGATCTCTCTTTTTTGTTCACCCGACAGATTGCAGGAGAATGAACTTACTGAAAATATAAATCCTTTAAGGAATGAAAACTGGGAGTTCATCATGGATCGTATTTTTGAAGGCATACTTCGTTTGTTTTTCTGCACTGGTGCTGCAGAAGCGATAGCAAGTGTAAGTTGCAATGAGGCTTCATCTATTATTGCGTCATCTCGGCTCAATCACCACCAGTTCTGGGAGTTGGTCGGTTCATGTGTAGTTCAGTCTAGTTCCCAAGCAAGAGGAAAGGCTGTTAAATCATTTGAGATTTGGGGGCTAAGTAAAGGGGCCATCAGCTCGCTGTATGCTTTGTTGTTTTCCTGCAAATCGCTTCCACCTCTGCAGTATGCAGCTTTTGTACTTCTTTCTACTGAGCCTATTGCACCATCAGCTTTTGCATGTGATCCCGGAAATCTAGGTACTTCTAATAAAGAGGAGTCTCCCGATTCCTCTTTAGAAGAAAATGTTATTTTGAGGGAAGAAATTTCTTGCAAGCTAGAAAAATTATCTTATGAGGTTCTCGAAATGGATTTAGTGGCACATGACCGGGTAATTAATAGCTTTTATGCATTACAGCATTCTATTGCACGGCATATTATTATATTTTTGACTCGATCGACACAATAATTACTCAATGGTTTATGATGATCACAAATCCATGCTATTTAATTTTACAGGTCAATGTAATGGTTGCTTGGTGTTTACTGCTGTCGCATATAGCATCCTTGCCACCTTCATCATCAGAAAGGGAGAGATTTATCCAATATGTGCAAGACTCTACAAATTTGCCCATATTGGATTGTGTTTTTCAACACATCCCGTTGGAGCTATACATGGGTGCCAGCTCAAGGAAGAAAGACATTGAACTTCTTGAAGTTGGGTCAAAAGCAGCAGATTCTGCAAAGCATGCTATCGCAACAAGTTCAGTGTTGTTTTCGTTAGAGTTTCTTTGGCCAATTAGTCCGGAGAGCATGGCTTCGCTTGCAGGTGCAACGTTTGGTTTGATGCTTCATAATCTTCCAGCCTATGTCCGAGGGTGGTTTAGTGATATCCGGGATCGTTCGGCGTCATCTGCCATTGAATCATTCACAAAAACATGGTGTAGCCCGACATTGATATCGAATGAATTATTTCAGGTTTGCATGATGGTTATCTGTTATCCAAAAAAATTCTGTGTGACATTTCTTTCAGATTAATTCATCATCTATTTTACTTGATAAAATATATTACTAGCTTGACACACTAGTCCTTTTAAGTTGCACCGAATTGTTTTAACACTCCTAGCGGGGCTATTTTTGTAGTAGTCTCACTTGGACACGCTATCTTATTTTCAAATCGTTCGCTAGAATCTTCAATCATGGATATTTGCAGGGAAATCAGCTTTTGTGCTTATCCAGGCTAGTATATTATGCCTCTTTGCCATGTCAGAAATTGTTTTCCAGGAATGGACAGTGACCTCAAACAGACCTTATGATATGCACCTATATAATCATTATATATTAGCTCAAAACATTCTTCCTCGTCCAGGGTCTATGCCCTTGGTGAAAGCACACAGTCCAGTAAATAATTTTGTAAAATGCGCTGTTTTATAAGAACATGGCTAGTGAAGTGGGGCAATAGTGTTCTACAAGTAGAGTACATTGAATACCGTCCACTTAATTGTGTGATTTTTCAAAACATGATGTCAGTTCTCATATACGGGAAATTTTCTTGTGGGTGCATAATTAACATTTGTGAGTTCAGGGCAACTACTTTACCACCATCATTTTCTTTTTGATTGCTCGGTTATTGAACTTGAATATTATTTTTGTTTATTTTTTATTAATGCAGGTCAGAAAGGCTAATTTTGCTGACGGCAATTTTTCCGTTAGTGTCAGCAAATCAGCTAATGAGGTTGTGGCCACATACACAAAGGATGAAACGGGAATGAACCTATTAATCCGCCTTCCTCCAGCTTATCCTTTGCGGCCCGTGGATGTTGATTGTACACGGAGCCTTGGCATTGCTGAAGTGAAGTGTCGAAAATGGTTGATGTCGCTGATGTCATTTGTTCGGAGTCAGGTATATGTGTTTCGTATCATTTTCCAACTCTTTTTTTTTTTCCAAAGATAATATACCTGCCTTACACTAAGTCCCATATACAAAAAGTTTTTGCTCTTAAGGAGAGCATTATGAATCGACATGCTTGCCCGACTTAAAGAAATTGTGATGTGAAAGCTAATTAAGCTAAAAGCAAATGCGTTTGATTGTACAGAATGGAGCATTAGCCGAGGCAATAAGGATATGGAAGAGCAATTTCGACAAGGAATTCGAAGGAGTCGAGGAGTGCCCCATCTGTTACAGTGTTATCCACACGGTGAATCATAGCCTGCCACGACTCGCGTGCAAGACGTGCAAGCATAAATTTCATTCGGCTTGTCTCTACAAGTGGTTCTCAACATCTCACAAGTCAACTTGTCCACTTTGCCAATCTCCCTTCTGATCTGTTTTGGAAGATGATGTTAGAATTTCCTTTTTTTTTTTTTTTTTTT